TGCAGATAAAGATGCTCAAAGAGAAGGCTAAGCATTTAGCTACAAATTGTTGAATAAGAAACTTTTAAAATGCTTCCCTTTCAGCAATCTCCCTTGCAGTGCCTCTCTGAGCATCCTCCTGGTACCTTGCTGGCCACTGCTATGAAAATAAACACTGCATTTGAAACTACAGCAATTGTAGATGTATCAAAGGGTACTCAAGTTTACCTAGATCAGGTACCAAGAGTATAAAACTGACCATAATACAGGCTTTAGCCTGTCCTTTTTTTAAGTCTGCAGGGACCTCTTGCACTTAGCAAGGCAACAAGCCTGCAATGAGGTCTATGCTATTCTCAATTTCTCTTCTACAAGAATCTGGGCAACCTGTTTTGAAATAAATGCCATCATCACACCTGCAAACCTCTATTCCAGGAGAAAATGTCACTTAAGCCAAATTCTGAAATCCAGACTAAAGCAAACCAGTTCAGACAAGAACTGCACCCCCCATTTTCATCAATAGCCTCGTGCTCTGTTTTTAACTTCATCTTTTGAGGAGGCTGTCTCTCCAATATCCATGTGTCACACCTGAACCTTCACAAACGTGGCCTCCTGCAGAGAAGAGGCTTACACCTGTTCACAAAATCTAGGGCTTTGAATTTTACTTTGGATTAAATGGCAATCAATGCTTCTCAGAGACTGTCTTTTCTTCACATTTTTAGCAAGAAATGCTGCTCAATGAACAATCAGCATGTCAGACCTCCCTTCAAGTGTGAGTGCAAAGGTACAGTTGTTAGAGCACTTACAACTCAAGTACAATAGCTTTCCCTAAAAACACTATTCAGTTTTTGTGCAAAGAGCAGTTCTCAGCTCAAAATGTTATCCAAAATCCATTCTCAATTTCCTAATTCTCTCGAAGTGATATATAGGGCCATATGTCCAATAAACTTACATGGACGCATAACTGCGTATTACATCAATCCTTCAATTTGGATTTATCCTGCATTTCTACATCCACTTCTTGTCAATTTATTTTTTCACTTGTGTTCTCTGCATAGTACGGAGTGGAAAATAATGGCACTGATATCTTTCTGTCCTTCACATAACTATGATAACACTTCTGGCTGTGAAAACCTACAACACTGTCATTACATCGCTGAACTAGTCTTAAAATAGCTACAGCACTTGCAGCAACTACAGCTTTGGAGAAAGAAACAGAAAAATCTTTCATTGGCCTAAACAGCAGCAACAGAAATACCCCAGCAACTGCTTATGGCAGTGATACATCATGCAGTGCCACTGTTACTCAATAGGTGTAACAGGTATTTCAGTTTGGAAGGAAAATGGTTTCTAAAAGGTTAATAACTGCAGAAAAACAAAGACAATTAAAATAATTCTGAACAAAGAGGAAGCTTCTTCATATGTCACTTTCTATGCTGTCACCGAATTGTATCTATCCCTTGATCCACCTATGAGCAGTGCAATCATACTGTCTCATGTCCTAGCCAGCAATTTCCATGGAAATACTTCAAGTGTTCCCACTGCAGGTGCCTACTGAACTTTATGCTTACTTTACTTTTTCAACCTTCATTAACCATAGATACTGTAAAAAAGAGTAACTAACTAACTAAATAAATAAATAAATAACTGAAATTTATTTTCCTCTAGACTGCAAAACCACTGAGAAATTGGCAGCCAGCAGCAATGTGATAGGAATTAGTGCCACATTCCACTTCCTCTGCACACAACACAGGCTCCATTTATGCTAAGAAGGCCTGGGGCAATATGAAACTGTCTGAGGCTCAGAAATGGTATTTCCATATCAACAGCAACAAATATATTGTCTGCTCTGAATGAAGCAAAAATCCTTTGGGGTTTTGTTTCAGTGTTTGATTCAGCCTTCCTTCCTTTTAGTTCATCTCCTTAAGACCACCAGCAAATAACAAAATAAAGATGTCACCAAAATTACAAAGAGAATGACAGTATTGAGACTGTACTTTCTTCTACAACCCATGATACAGCAGGCAGATAAAGAGCCCACTGAGGACAGAAGACTCAGTGACTTGGACTGCAATGCTTCATTTTTCTCTTTATTGTTTTTGGTTCCATGAGAGATCACCTATTGCTTTATCAATCTCAGTGCGATAAAAGGCAAAAAAAAAAAAATAATAAAAAATCAGAATTCCCTCTAAAGCACGTGGAAACATCATGGAAGGGAAAAGTCCTATGGGGGAGTAGAAGGACAGAGGCTTTGGCACCTGTTTTTTTTCATTACTCATGGTATAATCTCTTTCCCATTGCTTATACAAGGTGATAAGGAAAAGCAAATCATAAACACATGGATATCTTCTTTATCTTCAGGTCTTCCCTCTTCAGAATAGAGGTGTCCAATGAGAAGTCCAGAAGGTGGATCTGACCCAGAAAGTCCCTTGAAGATAATAAGCTGTATGTTGTCTGAAGTGATTGTCAGGGAAAGACACAAGTTATCTTTTGCACAAGTGGCTCAAACAACTCCTCCTGTCCAACTCCGAGTACAAATTTCACTGGTGATTAGACATCGGTCAATTGAAAAAGGAATCACTCTGGCAGCTTGAAAAGCAGATTGTTTCAAACAGCATTAATCTCAAATACCATGGATCTCTAGAGGAATATTCAATTAGTGTCTGGAAGTTCTGCATGTGGTACTAGTCGGCAGTTATTGTTGCACACATTGGGAGAGACTCGCAATGAAATAGGGCAGCAAATATCAAAACAAAAACAGGAAAAAAGACAAACAAAGCAAAAAATGGGAATAGAACTGTAGGAAGATATTTTGGTTGTTTCCCTAAAGGAAATGCAATTTTATCATCCAGTCAAAAAATGTGCTATAAAAACAAACCAAACCAAAAACAAACAAAAAACCAAACAAACAAACAAACAACATATGGGAACTCAGCTTGCTGATGTAACAGCAAGAAACATCGGAAGATGTGCTTTACTGAAGGGTCAGATGGGGGGATATTATTCATACAACACAAATACCAGTTTCCTGCCAGTTATACCAGATCTCACCATCTTTTCTATTCTCCCCTGCTCCCATATACACAGAACTTCAGTTAAGTGACTGAAAATGTGCTGGGGAGGATCCAGTGGAAAAAGACCACGGAGCACAGCCTGAAAGGAGGAGTTTCACCACCTTGATCCAGAGTCTGTGCTCCAGCACTGAAGGAGTTACCCAGGGCCACACTCCTGCAGTTCTGGGCAGACCCGGACTCCAACAAAGCCAGCTGGACTTTCAGCACCATTGTCAAAAAAACAAACCAAACAAGCAAAAACCCTAGGCCTTTCACAGCTGTTTCTCTCCTCATGACTTTGTACTGAATTTTTTATTACCCTTTTTCCAGGAGAATGAATTTAAGTTATTTGACATCTCAGTGGTAACGCAGCTTCAATACTCCAGCTACAAAAAGTGATAACAAAAAAAACAACAAAAAAGTGTGTTTTGTTTTGTTTTGTTTTTTTAAAAAAAGTTTGATCACTTAACATTCACATCTTTGAACTTCTGCATGAAGTGCTAAATAAAAGTTTAATATTGTTAAAAATTTCTTGGGTTTGTTTATCCTGTCAGCACCCCTTTGCACCAAAGCACTGACAAAGCTTGCAGCCACGGCTCATGACATTAACAGGAATGTAATAGTGCAATTTGCAGCAGGATATTAAAAGTGAAGGAACTTTCAGTTCTACTTTATACAACTACCCCAGCAACAACAGCAAGCTTATTGAAATCACATCATCAATCAGAAAATTCATGTTTGGGACAGCAAAGCACTAAAATTATCAGCAGATCCCCGATATTTCTTATGTAACTGGATTTAAGACTGCTATCTACAGTCTATAAATCAGTTTCCCCACAAACCTTTAAATTCATAGGTGCCAAATACAAACATTTTTCTCATAATTCCATGTTTGTTATTTTCACTTTATTATTGGTCTTCTTATTCTTAGCTACATTGTTGCTAAAATAAGTTGCTGGTTTTTTTCCTACAAAATTTGCCAAACCCAATGCTGGAATGCATTTGTATTATCCTCTTACTAGAAGAACTCCTTTAAAATTCCCACTGACCTAATTGCAGTTTTTGGCCTGAAAAGATGACACGTTTGTGTAAATCTGGTAAAGCTGTTGAAGCAGGGATACTAGAAATGAAGTACCCTTGTGGCCCCTTTCATCAAGCTCCAAGCTGAATCCTCTTAGGAATGTGATGGCATTTCTTCTCACTGCTTTTTTTCTAAAACCCTATTCTAAGCTGCTTTAAAAAAAAAAAAAAAAAGAAAAAAAGTCCAAAATCTGACTAAAATATCCCAGAAACTTAAGCAAAGACAGCTGGAAAGATGAAAGAGTGATAATGTTAGATGCAAACCAAGTGACATGTTCCAACAACTGGCAGGGACTAAATTCTGTCCCAGAAATGTAGGTTATTCCATCTGTCATTAAAGAATAGAGTGTCAGTGGGGAAATCTCTAGAACCACAGTACAATTAGATTGTTATAGGTCTCTAGTTGGAAAGCATTATAACTACACAGAGAAACCCAGAATTTTCATATTTATACACCCTAATGTGGTACCTGTTACAGCAAATCTTCTTCCTCAAAGCAGAAGACAAAAAAAAAGTAAATTACAGGACAAAACTGATTGTTCAGAGACAGTGTAAGGCTTTGGCAGACACCATATGTCATCATACGCAGCAATATTATACGAAAAAGGCATTGTGTCCTGTATGAGACTGAAAACAGTTTGCAGAGCCTGCAAACTAAAGTAACTCCTGCTCTTGCCCCTTCTGCAGATGAAGCTCGCTCTGGACAAAGACCCATTTTATGGCAGAGCGGATGCCTTTGACTTGTGTCCTTTAATCTGCTGAAATCCTTGGATGTGCCCACAACCCCACGCAGAGTCACAGTTCACGTGACATGTATGTGACCACATCTGAGTCTGCTGTGTTCCAAAGACTTCATTTTCTAAACTTCTATCACCATAGTGGCTTCCTTACCTGCACAGATCTTCCCGTCGTAGACCTCACACACCCAGTCTTGGCACTCGCAGAGAGGACCGTAGTATTTGCCCGACTCGGTCACTTGGCAAACGCAGACTCCACACTCGCACCTGCCTCTGTCACTGCACAGCTTCCCCCCCGGGATGCGGCACCTGAGCTCCGACTCAGCCCGGGACAGCCGGCAGGAAGGACTACCCAAGCTGCTCCTGCAGAGGATGACAGACAGAATGAGCTGTGATCAAAGCCAAGGGCTGCAGCATAGAGCCCATGAGAGCTTGTCTTCATGGGAGACCATCACCTTGTGCTTTAGTTATGGTTGTAAATTATTACTTTCCTCAAATCACTCAGTTTTCTTCTCTTTCATCAGAAATCTCACTGCTACCTGTGGGAATGCTTATATTGTATTTTACTTACTTTGTTAACTGCAATAGGCTCGTCTTATTTTTCATTATGCATATCTGACGTGTATACATATACATACATAGTTTGATTATCTATCATGAAACATTTTGATCTGAATTATTCCAAAAGGTTTTAAAAACAAGTATACATCCAAATATCCAAGTAGCATTACAGAAATATATTATACCATAAAGCAAACCTATGGTTGATTCTAATAAAATACATTTGCCAAACTGGTCCTTCCAGTTGTCAAATATATAGGTTCCATGCTTTTATTGGAAAAGGAAGCCAACATAATCATTGCTTTCCATGCAATTATGTGGTTGTGGTTTTAGTAAAGTCAGCAGAATCCGGATGCTGGATCTGAAGATTTGCAGCTCTGCCATGCAATTGTACCATGCAGTGGAGAACACAGAGCTCAGGACCTTCAAGACAAACACAGGTACAATCACAGGTTGCCTCATCAGGGGCTAGACTGTAGGAAAACAGAACAAAGGACTGGCCAAGCCTTAAAGAGGTGTTCATAAAGCTAGGGAATATTGAGGATTTGGGTTATGAGTATCTTCACTTCCCAGACACTAAATTTTGCAGACTCTGGAGGAAAGTTGCTGGCTCTAAGATCAGGCAGGTGCTAGACCTGGTGGAGGGTAAGAGCAAAGGACAGCATGCCTCACTGTGCCACTACACCAAAGAGCAGGAACATACAGGTGGTTCTGTGCCTGTCCCACTCAGGCAGCAGAATTTAGAGATTTGTGTTTGAAGTCATCACTATCCGGTTCTTCACCCTTTACTACTTTAGAGGTCTGCACCTTGGGTATGAAATACATTATTGTGAATAACCCTTGCAGTTTGCTTAACACCTATTCGGGTTCCCAGCGACCCCAAGCACTTCCTTCTGTGTCACTTTTAGGCAGACAGAAGATGAGCTCGCAAACTGCTCCACCACTGCCTCTACAACCCCAGCCTCCACCCTCCTGACATCTCATTTATCAGCCACAATCCCCCAGGGAGGCTTCAGAGCCACACTTACCACAGGGACGTGGGGCCAGCCGGCGGTGCGAGGTGACCGGCAGGCAGCAATGTGACCAGCAGCAGCACCACCAGCCCTGGCAGCCCCTGCGTGTACATGGTGTGAGCTGCTCTACCACACACCTGGAGTGCTCCTGCAGATACACGGCTGGTCAGACAGCCGGACAGACCTGCCAGGCGTGTGGAGAGCTGTGAGCTGGACAAGCCCAGCTCCAGGGCTGCTCCCCCCGTGCTGCAGTGGCTCTGATTAGCTGCCTGGGAGCGGGATTTGGGCAGCGCTCTGGGAGGGAGGCTGGTGCCAAACCCCGAAGTTTACAGTCTAGGCAGGGAAGTAATTAGAAACAGTTGTGCAGCCAGATGGTTTATTTTGATGTTTTAAAAGCGGCCGTTTCACAAATGTGGATGAACTGCCTCATGCTCAAAGTGCAGGCACCATAAATATTTGAAGTATGTGTATCGTCCTGTCCTTTGATAGATGGCTGCTCGAGATAATCTATGTAAGGTGTTCAGGGAAACGTGGACTGCTGAGGACACAGGACTAGTGCTCCCCAGCTACAGCATCCCTGCCTGGCTGCTGGAGCACCTCCCTTCCTCCCCAGAGCCCTCCCTCCTCTCCTTTCCCCAGGGTTACCTGCTTGCACCATTGCATTGTGCAGCACAGAAGGCTGCCAACCTACACTAGCTTGAGTAACTGCAAATGAAAAGATATTATTAGTTAACCATTTCCTAATGCCTCATTAAAGCACGCAGTACAATATTTCATCAGGCCAGTGGGAGATTCTTGAAGTGTTTTAAAAATAAGCTCAAATGAGGCATATTCCCTCTAAATCATTAAAACTTGGCAGGAATGGCCATCTGCATTTCTTTATGCTATGGAAAAGTTGCAAGTTTTTGACCCCCCTGGTTGTCCTGGGTAATTGCTGATTGCCAGTGTAGCTCCCTGGCATGGAAAGCTCTTGGGGAAACAAACTTCTACCACAAAAGATGTAGGTTATATACAGGTGTCCTAGTCTACACATACACATCTTTATCAGCGATCTTGACGTAAGTTTGCAGATGACATAAAGTTGGGAAGGAGTGTTGATCTGCCTGATGGCAGAGAGGCTCTACAGAGAGACCAGATCAATGGGCCGAGGTCAGTTGTATGAAGGTCAACAAGGTCAAGTGCTGGGTCCTGCACTTGGACCACAACAGCCACGTGCAACTCTACAGGCTTGGGAAGAGTAGCTGGAAAGCTGTCCCGACAGAAAGGGACCTGAGGGTTCTGATTGATAGGCAGCTGAACATGAGCCAACAGTGTGCCAAGGTGGCCAAGAAGGCCAATGGCATCCTGTGTTAGAAATAGTGTGTGGCAAGCAGGACCAGGGAGGTGATTGGCCCTCTGTACTCTGCAGTGGTGAGGCCCCACCTCAAATATTGCATCCAGTTTGGGGCACTTCAATATAAGAAGGACATTGAGTACTGCAGTGTGTCCAAAGAAAGGCAATGAAGCTGGTGAAGGGCCTTGAGGAGTCTTATGGGGAGTGGCTGAGGGAGCTGGGGCTATTTATTTTGAAGAAAAGAAGGCTGAGGGGAGACCTCATCACACTCTACAACTACATGCAAGGATGTTGTAAAGAGGTAGGCACTGGTCTCTTCTCATAAGTAAATGGTGATAGAGCAAGAGGAAATGGCCTCAAGCTGCACCAGGGGAGGTTTAGACTAGACATTAGGAAGAACTTTTTCACTGAAAGGGTTGTGAGACCTTGGAACATGCTGACCAGGGAGGTGGTTGAGTCATCATCCCTGGATGTGTTTAAAAGTCATCTAAAGTAGATGCTTTGGAACATGGTTTAGTGCTGGACTTTAGTTAGAGTAGGGTTTATGGTTGGAATCAATGACCTTGGCGGTCTTTTCCAACCTAAGAGATTCTGTGATTCTATGATTCTACACGTCTTTAAAACAGGCAGCTAACAGAGGATTCACTAGTTTCAGAGCCTATATTGGAGATTAAAACCCTTAGTAGCTTTTTAAAAATTAGTAACTCTTGTTTTAATTTAATGTTCAATATCTGGTATACCACTGATTATACCATTCTAGAAAACATTTTAAAATTTGGTAAAAACTCCTTTGACTCAGATGCTGCCTTTCCCAAAACTGTAATTAGGTGTCATGTGTTACATAGTGAACTCAAGGGTACAATTCCCAGGATTCATCCTGGCTAGTTTTGCTAGTGATTTTCCTGAAAAAAATAAATAAAAACACATCAAACATTTAACGTTGCTCTGCTGGTTTTGTAGATAGCAAAAGAACCTTTAAATTCCAGTTTTAAGCTGTGAATCCTGTTTTCAATGAAGTAACCATTCAATTGAAATACAAACTTTAACTGAATGACAAAACAAGAGATTGGACAAAATCTAATTTAATGTATTTGTAAAGAGACAAACTTATTTTCTGAAGACACACAGGTTAAACCCAAATATTATTTCAATATTAAAACATAAAACTTTTGCCTATTTTAACAGGTTATTTTGAACTTGTGAAGTGTAAAACTTTTCTCTCTATGTGTGGTGCAAATAATTCTCCCCCCCAAAAAAACATGAAAAAGGAATATTAGAGGGGGGAAAAATTCTCAAAACCCTGTATACAGCTGTTGCACACTGTATACTAAATTTTAAACAGTTTTGCTGCCCTTTATAGTATATTTTATATTGCAAATATGTTACAGAATATTCTTGTGCAATGTAGATGATAAAAATCCTGTATTAAGAGTGAGCTGCTGGGTTCAGTCAGGCAAATGCTTACAGTTGTGAAATCTCATGCATTTGATTTTGATAGATCTAGTTAAAAGGTAAGTAATGCTGGCAGGCTTTTATTTTTGACAGTCCTTGAATTTTGAAATGCATGCTTAATACAGCACTACGTGTTCTATCTGTGTGATAGTTTTCCAAATATATTTGCAGTGCTACAATAATATAAAAAAATATAAATTTAAACACCCTAGATTAAAAATGGGAGCACTTTTAACAATCCGATTGTCAGAAATCATACTGCTAGAAGTCTGGGATTAGAGAAGAATAATAGAAAGCTTTGATTTTTAAACAATAGCAGTTCCCTTTTGGCACTAAATTTGTCTTTAATCCACACACTAAAATGTTGCTATCTGTTGTTCATCTTCCTCCTTTTTTTCCTGTGCAGATTGATGGTGATAGGTATTCACAAGACCTTTAAGCAGCTTACAAACCATAACTTCAAATGTAGTAAGAGAAGACATCCATCGTGATATGTTGACCTTATCACTCTCTTAATTATCATTTATTTAAGCAATAGGAGTCTTTGCTGCAGTCATTTTAAACTTGGAGAAGGTCGAGTTACATAGTCCAAGGCTGGAGCATATAAAATGTGCACCCAGAGCTTAAGTTTAATAACTACTGCAATGTGTACATGCCTTTAATAGTATATATACATATATATATATATGTATCTCAGTGGTCCCTTACTGGATTCAAACCTTTGCTCAGATTTATTATTTAATCATTCAAGCCTACATGAACATACAACCAATGTACATGTGTATATGCATCCTAGATGAGTATATATTTAAGACCTAAGTGGCTCCCAAACAGGCTGCAAGTTCAGTTGAAAAGGAGCCTCTTTCTAAATGAGAACCTGACATGATATCTTGAGGACTGACCACTTCCTTTCAGCCACTCCTGCACATAAACTTAAGGAGCTTTGTTCTCTACTTGATAACATATGCCTACACAAAGTAGAGTTCTTATGAAATGCTACTTTTCCTACATACTGGAGTTTCAGAGTAAGGCTTCAGACCTGTAGGTGCTTGGTAGATGGATAAGGAGCTGGAACATAATGCTAATACTGAACAGCTTTTTGAAAAGTGTAGAATAATATTAAAACATTAAAAAAACCCAAACAAATCAACAATGTAAGAGGAAGCTTTAAGAGCGGTCTAACACTAGAAAAAACTGCTCCAGGAGGTTATGGAATCTCCACCCTTGGAGATATTTAAAAGCCATCTGGACACAGTTCTGGGAAACTGGCTCTAAGTGACCCTGCTCTGAGCAGATGGGTTGGACTAGATGATCTCCAGAGATCCCTTCCAACCTCAAATATTCCATAATTCTATGATTCTGGAGACATATTTTACTACTGAACAAGACTTGATTTGATGTGGAGAGGCAGATAGACTCTGCTTACTCCTTTATTACAGACTCTTAGTGGCCAACATAATTTCACCACTTTAAGAAAGCCATTAGTTTTTCAAAGCACATCTCCTGCTATTTTTAAGGATTGATTTAATTTTAAAAAATGGGGAGAGTTGGAAACTTCCAGTGATTTTCACCACTTCTGTCAAGGATATTCAATAACTAAAAGAGATGGCTGCAAAGATCTATGACAAAACACTTCAGCACCCATGAACCAAAGTATTTGATGGAGTTGACTAAAATCTGTCTAGGCTAAACAGTTCAAAAATGCATGCAATCACTGGGAGTCATTGCTGAGTCAATGGCAGCCTTGGAAGGGAACAAGGGACGAGCTCTGCAGAACATAAAACCTTGCGTTCATTTTGCTGATGTGACATGGAATCTGGGACAGTTGGTGATGTCACAGAGGGAAGAGAAATAGCTTTTCAAGTTACAGGATCAAGGTTAGAACAAGATAAAAGCTGAGCTGGCCAGAATGTAGCTGACCTGAACAGTAGTGAATAAGCTACCCAAACAGCTCATAGGCCAACAACAATCAAGATGTTACTGTTATGTGTGTTATGTGTTACTGTTATCTGTGTTATGTGCTAGTGTAAAACCTTAGCTTACTCTTTCAGGTCCCAGTTGAAACTTTAAATAGTATGTAGGTCTGCTGTTTGCTTAATGTTTACTTGTTAATTCCCCTGAACAGCAATAATACTCTCTACTTTTACAGAGGCCTTAACACAAAATGAGATTTTTAAGTACTATCTTGCAAGACAGCTTAGAATTGCCAGCAGTAATAATAAAAAACATACTACTGCTTTCTTAATTGTTTAGCATTTATTTCAGAAAGTGAGTCAAGGTCTAGTAGAATCCAAGTTAACAGTGCTGTTGAAGAGACCAAGAAAGAAA